ACCACAAATACTGATGCAATTTTTAAAAGTCAGCCAGACCTGATTGCAGTGCCTCAAAAGTTCCCAAGCTGTGTTGTCAGCTGCTGTGAAGATTCACTTTCTTGAATTAATCAACATCTTCATTGTCTGGGCCTGCAATGCATGGCCAACTGAATAGCCCAGGAAGCTGCAAACAGTGAATGCCACAGGACAAACAGAGCTCGTCTCATTGTTTAGCAATGTCTCTCCATCAGTCTCTTCGAGTCTGTAATGGAACAGTTGAAGGTGCTTTGTCTTATATGGCAAGTAACCCTCGAGACACACCTAGGAAACCGACAGAGGGAGCTGAAGAGGTTAGCTGTTGTGGAGAGCAGCATACATAGGTCCAGATTGCAAAGTGGGTAAATTACATCTTCTGCACCAGAAAGGTTAGTATAAATGGATTGCTGACCGTGCTATGGCTTTCAAATAATTAGCATAGTGGCTTTACCACTGGCAAGTTAACCCAACAGGTGAAAGATTCGTCTGTTGCAACAGCTGCCTCATGAGGATCAGCAACATCAGGTCAACTGACAGCCATAAATATGCCAACTGATTGGTGAGTTTATTTGGGGACACTACTGTCAACCACACAACAAGCCAGCATGGACCACTTGGCTTTAGTAGTATATTCTGATGCAATTAACATGCTACAGGACCTCCAATTTGGTGATGTTTTCCTGCCAGGAAATGTCAAGGATACATTTGGAACAGTGAAGGTGGGAAGTGTTCAATTCTCCCCTGCTATGTGTACTTTGATCAGGTTTCACTAGTGTAGAGGAGTGCATGGAGGATGCAGGGATGGGAGACTCGCAGTTGGCTGAAATTGGTCAGGTTGCCGTTGTTCACCACACCGTTACTTATCTTGGACATGAACACCTGCAACCTATTCAATATTCATGGTCAATATGCATGTCAAGGGTAATGACGCTCATTCTTCCTTTGACATTCAGCTCTACATCCATGTCTGTAAAGAGTATGAAGTTGAGAAGCTTTGACAAGATGCCAACTGAGTGTAATTGGCAAGGTATCACTAAACAAAAAACAGAAAAGAACAGAAACTCAGCAATTCTGGCAGAAATTGTGGAGAGAGAAACAGAGTCAATGCTTCTAGTCCAATGAGACATTTTTGGGTTCTGCCTTTATTTCAGACTTCCAGTATCTACACTGTTTGGCTTTTAGAGGTCCAAACAGTGGCAGGAAAAAGTAGAGATAGCACATCAGTGCCCTGTATAACTGAAGCATAACCTTCCCACATTTGTTTTCAATTCCCCTTGCAACATTTTATTAGCTTTCCTAATTACTACTTCTACCTGTACAGTAATGCTTTGCAATTCATACACCAAGACACTCAGATCCTTCTGCATTCTAGATCTCTGCCATCTCTCACCATTTAGATAAAATGCTTCTGTTCTATTCTCCCTGTCAAATTAGACAACTTAACATTTTTCCCCCACAGTATAAACTATTTGCCTGATCTTGATCAGTCACACCAGCTATCTGTACCCTTTTGTGAAGAGGTTAGCAACCATGTTTTCAGTCTCTTCATCCAAGTCATTCTTATAAATTGTACAAGATTGAGGTACCAGCACTGATCTCTGTGGCACACCATTATATTTAGCCATTCAGAAAATTACTAATTTATGCCTTCTCACTGCTTCTTGTTAGCCAATTTCCATGCCAATATGTTACTTATAGCATGAGCTTTTATTTTCCATAATAACCTTTGATGAGACATCTTATTAAATTCCTTCTGGAAATATAAGTACAGTACATCACTGCTTTCCCTTTATATACAGCATTTATTTCCTCTAAGACTCCAATAACTTAGTTAAACATCATTTCCCTTCTAAATAACAAGACCGATTCTGCCTATTTTCTTGATTCAAAAACTGTACTATTGGATGGGAAAATTGCCAATACAACTCCATTATCCATAAAAAGGTGAGAGATGGAGCTCAATAACTTATAGACCGTTTGGTCTCATGTCTGTTGTGGGAAATTATTAGAATTTGTCATTAAGGCCAGTGTGACTGAGCACTTAGGCAAAGATGAGTTAATCAGAGAAAGCTGAAAGGGATTTGTAAATGGTAAACCATGTCCAATTAACCTAACTTTTTTGAAATCACTAATGTGGTAGACAAGGAATTCGCTATAGATGTTGTTCTTCTGAACGTACAGAACTCATTCTCAAGATTCCACATACAATATTATCAGCAGAAACAAAAGCAAGGGAACAGGCAGTAGACAATAAAAGATTAGGAACAATGGGCAGGGTTGTCAAGAAGAGTTCTTCTGGGATCTGTACTTACATTTTTGGAAGATAAAGCTCTTTAGTTTTTAATCAACAGCTTATTTGATGGAACAGAGAATCATATATCTAAGTTGTCCAATAAAACTAAATTGGGTGGGATAGAAATAGTATAGATAGGAGCAAAACGCTGCAAAGGGACCCTAATAGATTAAGTGAGTACAGAGAAGTGTGACAAAGAGTTTAGTGGGGCAAGTGCAAGAACATTCATTTTGGACCTAAGACAGAGAAAGCACAATAATGATTTGTCTCAGTGATCTGAAGTGAGGAACTATGGAGGATTAGAACGATTTAGGGGTCAAGCAAGGAGAATTTTAACCTTCATCGCATGACAGCTTAAATTGACAGGTGGGACTCTAAGTTGTGGGGGGAATGCAACAAGGCTTCCGAGTGCATTAGACAAGTTGAGTGTAGGTGCAAGATAACATTGATACAGGTAAGCTATGCATTTTGGTGTGTTAAACAAAGAAAAAGGATTACTTAAATGGTGATATTGAGAAATATGGATTACACTACTCAATGTAAGTAGACAGGCAGATGCAACATGCAATTATGAAGGTAAATGGTATATTGGCCTTCATTGCAAAAGGATATGAGTACTGAAGTAGGGATGTCTTAGGCATTGATGCCTTGGGCCTTGGCAAGAGCATACTTGTCCTATTGCATGCAGTTTTCTTCCCAACCTAAGATTAGAGGTTATTCATTGTATTCACTAGAGGTTAGGAGAAGTAGAGGGGATCTGATTTCAATATATTGAAAGAAGATTGATTTAAAAACAAACTCAATATTTTCTAGATTTACTTCTCTCATAAGCGTGAGGGGATACTTTCAACAAAATTCTTTGCATAAAAAATCTTTCTCATTAAATATCTGCAAAGGAATTTTTTGTCTGTCCGTTAAAATTTATTTTATTTTTCAATGCATGTGCAACGCTGCCTTTGAAATTCCATTTTTGCATTTAGATCTGTGAACTCAATGATTTTATGCTTTATTTTTGCTGTCATTTCTTCTATCCTAACAATTTTGTAGTACCTAGAGCATCATAAAAGGTATTGAAACGCTTCACAAGAACACTATTAATCAAAATAGTCACACTACGTGATATTCGGAGAGATGCCAAAAGAGGTGGGTTTGTGGGATGTCATGGAGGAGGAAAATGAGGCAGAAGGTGAAGGGCAGGTATCCCAGAATTCAGGGCCAAAGCAACTGAAACAGCAACCACTAACTAAAGACAGGGATACACGCAATGTCAAGTCTAGTGGATGTAAGATATCTTGGAGGTTTGTGGAGCTGGAGGAGATTATGGATAGGGAGAACAAAGCCATGGAGGAACTTGAAAACGAGGATGAGAAGTTTAAAATATAGGAGATTGTTTGGCCAGAGGCCAACATAACTTAGCAAGAACAGGGTTGATAGGTGAATTGAGACTAGGTGCAAATGAAGACGTACACAGCAGTTTTGGATCATCTGAAGTTCATTGATGGCAGAATGTGGAAAACCAGTTAAGTGTGCATTGGAATAATCAAGCCAAGACATAAAAAGGCATAACTGAGGATGTCAGCAATAGCTAAGTTGAAACAGGTGCTAAACTGCCTGGTGCTACAGAGATGTAAATAGGTGGTCTTAGTTACATAAGCAAATATAGTTTGAACGCTTTTGCTGCATTGTCCAAACTTACAGTTCCACTATGAAAATTTTGAGAGGTGTGTACATAATGTAAGTTAAACAATTTCTCAAAGCATTGTAATATACACTAGATACTGGCAAACAATGATAGTGAAAAACAATTTTTGTACTGAAAAGTGCCGAGAGAGAGAATTGGCCAAAATGAGAGAAATATATGTTAACGATATAAAACACATGCACATACAAGAACTTTCAAAAGTTGGTTGGAGTAAACTGTTCACAAGTAAAAGGACGTTTGACAATTGGAAGGCTTTCAAGAGTGTGATGATGATAAATTCAGAGACATTATGTTCCTAGAGTGAAGGCTATGGCTGGTAAGATTAATGAACAATGGATGAATAAATATATTCTT